CTCTACTGGTGTCTTCACAGAATCACATGAGACTGGTTCCCATTGGTCCACCATCTGACCATCTGGCAGTTCATCGGTAACATGTATCTTATTTCCATATCTGTAAATGAAATACGCAACTATAGTTATTATAGTTCAGACCAATAGTCACCAAAGGTAAAAATGAAGTATCATTAGAAACCAATGATAACACAGCATTCAGTCACAGTAAATACCTTGCAGCTTCCATCAGAATATCCTCTTTCAACCGAGCTTCCATTTCTTCAACCCTGGACCTGTTTATTCCCTATTTGAGCACAGAAGGTCACTATCAAGTTTATATAACAAATATAAAGTAGTACTTGTTTGCATGACTGCTGTTGTCAACCCTGTGAATTTACACCCATACAGGTTAGTATGCAAACGCCATGAACTGCTTGAGAGAACATATTATCTTTACTAAACATCCTCATTCACAGAAAATCGAACATGAATGAGAGATTCTGTAAACCACGTTGAATTAAATCAAACGATCCTGAATGTTAGAGAGGGAATTTGTTTTAACTGAGAAAATCCTCGCATTTACATCACCAAGGAAACCATTTTAGTTTTAAAGCTACAGGAGAGCACAAAAATTCAACAATACAATACGGAGATTTTAGAAGGTAAACATGAGATACAAGTGAGATACAAGCACGGTAAGAAAAGAAATATCAGATTAAGGTAAAAGCAAGTTGAAAAAAAAAAATCCTTTACAAGTAGCATACCGTATATTCAAGATTGGAGAAAGGCCTCTCCACATCACGCAAGACAAAGGGACGTCCGTTAATGTACACCAACTGTTTCAATGAAAAGAAAAAAAAGAAAAAACAATGTGACAACTGTAACATGTGGATTAATTTGGGGTTGCGGTGCAACATGTGTTGAATGATTTTTTAAAAATTATTTTTGTTTAAAATTATTTTTTTATATATTTTTAGATTATTTTAATGTGTTTATTAAAAAATATTTTTTTAAAAAAAATATTATTTTAATATATTTTCATATAAAAAATATTTTTTTAAAAAATTCCTATACACTCAGAAGAACCCTAAGTATAAGGGGAAAAGGCCTAGAAACATCCGACAGTTATTGACATAAAGTTTGACATGAGTTTAATCATTATGTTGCTTCTGCTAGCATTTTCAGCACTAATTATCCATTTTAGTTAATAAAAAAATAAGCAATAATCAGAGCCCACTGCAATAATTAAGCACAGCAGAAAGAACGACAAGGAGAAAAAAACAGGGGGGTGCGGGTGCATATTGGCAAATAGCTTTACCGGTTCTTCACGAAGGTTAAACCATAAAACTTGTGCTTGCTTCCCATCTTTCCGGCCTCTTATGTGCTTAATAACATTACGACATCCTTCTATTGTTGGAATCGCAACACCGTGAACAGGTAACGATTCCGCCTATCAAAACAACCACAAATAAGTCAAAAATCATGATGATGATAATAATTATTAATGACAAATTCATTAATATAAGAAAGTGTAGTCAATCAAATACAGTGACCAATGCCTTTTGGTTTACGGGATCAGCAGACAAACAAGGCTCTTAAAATATGGCCGTGCTTAACTTTCTAATTCTATAAGCAAGCAAGCAAGCAGTTAACGGGGGGGGGGGGGGGGGGGGGGGGGGGGGGGGGGGGGGGGGGGGTGCTTATATGAAAAAAGAGAAGGATATATGCAACTGAATCGGGGAATTTCAAATGTTTAAATCAAAATAGAAAGGGAAAGCGAGATTAGTGGTAAGAAGAAAGTGGATAAAGAGAACCTGACGATAATTGGGAGCGCCGTCGATTTGAGGGGTTAAGCGCTTATTTTGACAGCCAGGGAAATGGTCGCTCTTAAGAATGGTCTTCTTTCCCAGCACTGATCCACCTCTCAGTTTCATCACCTTCTCTGGTTCTTTTTGTACCACCGCCATCGACATGTCTCCTTTTTCCTTTCTCTTAATCTTTTATTCTACGCTGTCATCGCTACTCTCCTCAACTCTTTCTCTGTACCGCAAGCTAGTAAATAATTTGAAAGTGCCAAACGCGTCCAAAATGCCCGAACCACGCAGCAATATTGTAGTGCCAGGCAAGGCAGCTGAATATAACAAGAGAAGAGGAGAACAGAATTCGTTGTAGAGAGAGAGAGAGAGAGAGAGGATAGGCTTTGAAAAGAAAAGGGGAAGCAGAAGGGGAGGTCTTCCGAGATATAAAGAGATAGAGATATAGATCGTTTAAATTAAATATTCAATACAGAAATTTATTATTAGTAGTAGCAGTGCGAGCAAGCAACCACGGCAACAACGACATCAAACTCAGGTGGTGTCATTTATGATATGAAACGCCACGAATGAATTGGATTTCTTGAGTTAGTGGTTGTTTTTAATATATTTTTTATGTAATTTATTAAAATAATATTTTTTATTGTAATTATTAATTTTAAATATTATTAAATCAAAGTAATTTAAAAATAATAAAAAATATTAATTAAAATTTTTTTTGTGAAAAGTATAGCATGGCCGCAGATACAAATGGTATTTTAGAGTTTATCTGGGTTATGGTGTAACTTCCGTTTCATGATTATTTTAAAAAATTTATATAAAATTATTTTTTTTATATTTATAGATATTTTAAAGTAATGAAATTAAAATTAAATTTTTTTAAAAAAAAGTATTATTTTTATATTTTTTTAAAAAAATTGAAATGCACGGCATGTACGCAAATACGAACGGCACCTCGTGCTGTGGGGTCTGGTGGGGTACAGTGAGTAAATGAAAAACTGCTACTCTAAAAGGGGCGACGCCCTGAGGTCAGGTCTAGACTTACATCCTCTACAGAACGTGAAAGGCGTGTGTTATTTTGATACTTCGAGATCTCTGTTTTATTATCTGAGTTGCAAGGGAGAGGGAGTTTTAGGATATTGTTTGCCATTGGCTGGCGGGGTGCCAAACCGCCAATCACAAGTCGCCACCTAACGCTCATATTGATTTCGGATGAGCCTGTGCCCCCTTGGAATTCTAGTTGATCTCTGTCTACTGTGTTCCTATTGTGTGGATGGAACGGACTTTCTAAATAGGGGGTGCTTTCTGAAAATGATATGAGAATTCAGATGTGAAGAAGTGACAATATATCATCAGTTATAATCCCATGGCCCATCTCGGAAATAATGGGATTTTATCTTTATTCTTTTTATGGGAAGGAAAAGGGAAGGATTAAGGATTTTCTAGGAAGAACAAACAAGCTCCTGGCCATGCCCAACAAGCAGCTTTCAATGCTTGCATAAATTAATTGAAACATAACACAGCATATTGATGTGGCAACATTTTTTATTATAAATAAAAATCATTTTAGAAACAAAATGGATCCAGAAGACACATCAAATTTAAAAAATTTAAATATAATAATAAATCAAATATAAGGTAATATAAGTTTGGTAAACATATTTAACCTAAAAAATTTAATAACTATATCAGATTCAAAATACTTAACTTGGCACTTAACCAAACTCAAAGTAGCGGGCGAGGATCTAGTAATTATACCAAACCAAAACAATTAGGCTTGATAATTAATCATGTTTAAAACAATATGAATCTAGTAAATATGTTAAACTCGAAATATCTAAATTCAACCATTATTAAGTTTTCATATTATACATCTAATCTTAAATTATCCCTTAAAATAAAGTATTAAAGATATGGCAAACCGTTATATCTATTTATCTAGAATAATCATTCATATTAATGTAATTATTTTTTTATGTTCATAGGTAAGGTCTCTTAATGGACATATTATACTTAATATCTTAGTAATGATATATAAGATATATTTATTTCTTATTAATATCACCAAAACCAAAGGACTTTATAGTCCTTTACAAGATTGAAGAGATATAAATACCCTCTTAATTATCTATGATTCAAAACTTTTATCTCTTAAGATAAATTCATAGAGTTTAAAGCATTAACTAACTTAAAATTCAATTTAAGAACAAGCAAAAAAATTTAATTTTTTTTGTTTAAAATTAAATTCTTTTATATTTTTTAATTATATTGATATATACTAATGTCAAAAGTTTTTTAATATTACTAATAATAATTTATTAATATTTTAAAAAATAATCGTTAACCCAATATCAAATATTTCTTACCATTGCGTTGTTTGCATTATCTTCTGAATGGTAATTTTGCTCCATCTTTGACCACCCTTTTTTTATGAAATAATATTAATACCAATTATTACTAATGATAATTCTTAATCTTAAATTATCATTTGGTTGCCATGATGAAGTATAAAAACTATAATTAACTTTTGTAAATGTGGACGGTACACGGCTCACAGCAAGAAACATGAAAGGCGCACTCGGACCTTGATCGAGATGGTACTAGACATCCTGGAGATCTACACCGTTGAATGATTCGATGTCTTTACCTTCATTACCTTCATTATATAATCGATGCTATAAAGACATATGCTATCCATCAGAATCTCTTCTTTCTCAGTCATTGCTGCGCTCCACAGCGACTCCGCGACCGCATTCTGATCACATGGAAAACGTTATGCCATTCGCTACAGTTAACAGCAGCATAACAAACAAGACATGGCAAGCTAGATTTTCATTCCAGACAAATAAAAACCAGAGCAATCTTCATTCCAGACACGGGAATGAAGTGTAACAACAACCTGTGTCATTCCTTTGAACAGCAATCCAACTTGCCATAGAGGAGCTTGTACGAAATAGATTCAACTTTCTAAATCATAACTGCTGCTGTTATAGCAGCACAGCTAAGTAGGCATTTTGCTGCTGATGAAAATATAATTCTTTCTCAAGCAATTTCATATGCTATATACCAACATAAACAGGGTCATCCCATCCTCTAAGGTGGATTACAAATCACCTTGAGTTTTCATTATTAACATATAGAAGCATATTACCCAATAAATCTGGATATGTCTAGCAGCGGATGACAGAAGCAGAAGATGGGATGTGATACACGCCAAGAAGGTGAGTTGTGTTATCAGTAAATATCAAAAGATACAATATCTACATACTACTTGATTCTCACACAGATAGCAAATTTCAACTAAGAAAACAGTTTACATGGATGCATTCACCTGGTTTCGTCCCATGCATACAGTGAAAGCCCATTTCTAATCACAAGAATCCAATATTGATACATGAATTACAGCACTTCCAGATATAATATTTAGTCTGATATCATGCCGAAGCATCCTCACGAGCATCTATACTCACAACCTCTCTAACAAGATTCCTTGTTGAGGGCAAACCAGCAACCACATCTCCTTCAATACCACACTCATTTGTTCCCCTTCTAATCTTGAAGTAACCATCCTGTCATTTAAAAAAAATTGTGCTTAATCATTCAAGAAGAAACATTTTGTGTTCAGTTTATTTAGCGTGAGAGTTTTGATAGGAACTTACATCACCCCAGCCTCTATTCCACTGGTTGGCAAGAAGCTGCAGAAGGAGAGCAATTATATTGTCATGGAAAACTAATGGCTATAAAATCTGGGGAAAAAGCGATAAGCAGTCTCACATACCCAATAAGCTTCCCCATCTTCAGAAGTTCCCCAACCAATAAGCTTAACAGCATGGCCTCCCATCATTCCACCTGTTATGTGCTTGTAGACTCCCGATTTATAATGAGCAAAATCCTGTAAAATGGTGAGCAGTCTATTACAATCAAATAAGACATAGTTCCTATGTTTTCAGTCCTACGGCAATTGCACATAACCAATTTGTAATTATAGACAACTTGTGTCTTGCATATATGATTAGTAATGGTAAAAGTAGAGGAGTTCCATATTTTAAGCAACCAAACATATCATACTCTCAGAGGTAGTTCCTCCACACAAAGCAATAGATCATAGTTTCTTCAGAGCAATAAGTTATTCTCAACCACGTCAAAAGTTAAGCAAATACAAGTGAAAAATAATGAAATAGGCACGTTTTGACCTCATAAACAGTGAAGGCCACCTCAACTGGCCCATTCTTATAAATTTCAGCCATGATACTGTTGGGATCAGAATCAATTCTGTACGGCTTGACACCATAGTGCTTTGACTTCTTCCAGAGCTGGTTCTTATTGACACACTTCCGCGTGCACTTTGGCGTGGGATATCCAGGCTCACAACCAGGGTGAGAACAGCCAATATCATCAAAGTATGGATCACACTGCCAGATGAAAAATGTGTTCACCATTGGAATGAGTGTTCCATGGTCAGAAGCCATCAGACTAAAGCAATAACATTTTGTAAGACATAAAGGTAAGGTATAATAGGTATGGCCAAAGAGTGATAACCCTTAATTTTCTATTCAGCAATCATCATTGTTGAAAAAATCTGACTTGTTAACGGGCAATGACATAAACTAGTACCTCCTCTGTAACAACACCATGGTGGACAAAGTATCTCCATGCAGAAATTGGATACCCCCCATCACAACCACTTCCACACAAAAAGCCACAGCATGCTAAGAGATCATTGACTGACAGAGAGATGTTCTGCAATAAAACACTATAATATTTATGATGGGCAATATGAAAAAAGTCAACTTCAGTCACAAAACTCAGTTACATACCATGCCATAATGGATACAAAATCGATCAGATAGCGATTCGACAGCACCAAATGCCCAGCAGGATCCACAATGACCCTGGTTTATCAAAGTCCAAACATGATGAAAACCAGTACAAATTATTTATATGATTTGATTAAAAGATAAATAGCAACATAAAGTTACCTGATCTTCAATTAGGAAATTGGTCCGCCATTTTCCATATAAAATAGAGAAGAATCAGCACCATGAAGACAACCATGAAAATTAGAAAGCAGGAAAGAAAATGACCTAGAATTTTTCCAATGGTACTGCACTGTGGCCAAGCTGTTCTGGCATCGAATTCTTCTGGCAATCTCAAGGATTTCGGATGACTTATTACAGGAATTCCCCTCAGCTCCTCTTTAGGTGTTGGTTTGACTCCAAGAAGATACTTGAATTGGGCAACCTATGCATAAAAGATGAAATATTAGCAATTAAAAAGAAAAGCACCTATATCCACCTATATGTAAATTAAAAAAAAAAGAAATAGAAGGCTTAGAACTATATCAATCAATTTTATACATAAAAAATGTCCTGTCAGTTAAATACTCACAGAGTAATTGGAAAAATGATGGTTCATGGTAGCTTTCCATCCAGCTTTGGGATTTCCATTGACTTTTTTAAGTATTGAATCCTGCATTGTCAGAGCAAAACCAAAAGGAGAGACATTCAACACAAAAGGACTTCATATAAGACCAGCTAAAGAAAAGAAGTACCTGAAGAATCCTGGAGTTCAGCTTGAGATCGGAGACCGGTTCCACTGCTATAACCTGTAGACAGTCGCATTGCTTAACCAATCCAACACTAAAATAGTAACTTTCGAAATTCAACACATAAAGACGGGGCATCCAACAACGCGAACAGAATACATTAATATCCGGAAAAAAATAGTTCGCAGATTCCAATAAAATAAAAAGCCCCAAGAATATAATCAAAATTGTTCAGTAAGCAAATTGTAATGATAAAGTTGTGTTTCTTTATTAAAAAAAATCAATCAATTTTAGAAATCGTCTCATCCATCCTCATAATCTTCAGAAATTGAGGTTTGTTTCTCTGCAGGTGAAGATGGTGCGATTTGACATCACAATTTCTGCTTCTTCTTCTTCTTCTTCTTTTTTCTACCTAATTGTTAGGGGATACAGTAATTTGTTGTTGTTGTTGTTGTTTCTATGTAATTGAGAAACACAACTAAAGCTTGATCATATCTATCGGGTTCTCTAACAAGTGTAAAATTTGATATCCACCAAGATTGGAAATATAATTTTGTACAAAGATGAATATTAAAACTGAAAAGAAGATGATCGGGTTTCCCATAATTATTATCATTTTGAGGAAAAAGAAGTTTGCACCTGAGACTGAAAGGTAAAGATGGCACCGACGAGGAGCAACAGCAGAGTGGAAAAGCAGAGACTAGTTTCCATTTGCTCGTCTTCCTCTGTCGTGTCTGGCGGAGGAAGGAGAAGATAGAAATATCCGTCGGTTGTTCGGTGCCGAATAAAAATGGACCATGCGTCCTCGACCCTTCTTATTGGATTTGGGACGCCAGCACAGATTGCTTGAAAAGCCCAAAACCACACACACATGTATGTATACCCGCTTAAAACATATATAATCCTCTTAAAAAAAACTTAAAAATTTAATATAAAAATAAAGTAAATATTTGCCGAATAAAGATTCATAATTTTGAAACTCGATGCTGTCTAATAAATCAACCCAAGGCTAAAATTAAGCCATATTTAAAAAATAATAGAAGAAGTTAAAACCCGAGATGATCTAGCTAATTGACCTAATGACCCGGTAAAATCAAGTTAAAAACTCGATTACAATCTATTGATTTTTTTAATTAAAATGATATCATTATAATTTTTTTAAAAAATCAAAATTAACCCGAGCCACCAGACAACCCGGTCAAAACCCGGTAACCTTATTAAAACTCGAAATCCAGGCCTTAGACCGGGTTGACCACTGGGCCTAATTTAAAATTTTTGGCTATATTACGAAACACTAGCTTGTAAGAGTTTGTTTGGAACGCGGTCTAAATCTTGTTCCTTTAAATTTTAAATTTTTTTGTTAAATTTTTTTAATATTTTTAAATTGTTTTAATGTGCTAATATCAAAAATAATTTTTTTAAAAAAATATTATTTTAATATATTTTTAAACAAAAGGTATTTTGAATTGCAACTGTTACTATAATTTTAAACAGTTCTAAAAAGATCATGCATCAATATTTTTAATTTAGCTACATGTACTAAAAAAATTAAATAGGAAATAAAAAAATTTGGTTTCAAAATTAATTTTTTTTGAAAAGAAAATAATGAAAAGATAAAAAGAAGTAAGAAAATAGGGCAGCCAAGAGAGTAATTTTTGTGCTTTAGGGATTTGGTATTTTAGGTTTTTATTTATCTATTAATTTTAGTTTCCCTTCTTTATCTTTTTATTCTTTTTATTTAATTTTGGTTTTCAATTTTTATTTATTTGTTTCTAGATTAACATCTGTGCACATGACACCATCTAAATCATTGATCTCTTGAAATAAACTATGTTAGGAGGCACAGGCATCTTGCACTGTAAATGACGTGCTTGAATGGAAAGACCATGCATGACCGATGAGACCATGCATGACCAATAACTAAAAGGACAATACACCACAAATGAAGTTTATTCGGTGTGTGTTAAGAACATGGTGTAAATAGTATTTTTTAAAATTTTAATTTTTTAATTTTTTATTTGTTTAAAATATTTTTTTTATGTTTTTAGATCATTTTGATATGTTAATGTCAAAAATAATTTTTAAAAATAAAAAAAAATTATTTTAATGCATTTTCTAAATAAAAAACATTTTAAACTATTACCACTAAAACAATTCCAAACAGGACATATCTTAGGTGACCAAGGTGAAAAATCTAACATCTACCGGTTGATAATATTTGTATGGTCCCTCTATTTTAAATTTTATCTTAGTTTGGTCATTGTATTATTTTGAGGAAATTACATCAAGTCTTGTATAATATGATCTATTTTTTATTTTACTCATATATTTTAAAAAATTACACTTTATACTCTAAACTCTTATAACTTTATATCACTTTCAAAAAGTAATTTTTTGGCATGTGCTATTTTGTTAAAAAAAATAGCCAAGCATCCTACTATAAAAAAATTCCTTATAAATTATATTGATTATGATTCGATACATGCAATTGTTGGACAATTATATTAGATTTTTAACTTAATATTTTCTAATGTGTAGTTTTACTTTAACAAACATAATTTTTAATTTAATTATTAGATTAAGCTAAAATTTTATCAGAAATTTCTAGAAGTCTTGCTTTATATTGAATTTAAATTGCAGATCAATCGAAGTTCAAAAAAGTATTACGATATAGACCATAAGTTATTGTATGGCTTTCGTTATTTGTTTCCTTATATTATTTGTGAACTTCTTATTTAGAAAGAATTCTTTTTTTACAATAACAATAGGTGGCAACAATTAAGATTATTTTGGCAAAGATTTTAATGATAGCAACTTGTGTTTGCTTTTGTTTTGTGAATTTTCTCATTGGCAAGGTTTCATTATCATTCAAGGACATTATAGGTGATTTTGGATTTATATTTTGCAGTTTTATGTGAGAAGTATAATTTTTTACCCAATCATTGGATTAAGCTAAAAGTTTTTCAGATGATTATAAAAGCCTTGTTTTATTTATGGTTAAAATTTTGTAGCGATCAAATTTCGAGAAGGCTTTGTGATAAAGTTCAGAAGCTACCATGTCGGAATTGTATTAATTTCCTAGTTGGTTTAAGATTATTTTTTTATTTTATTTATAAATCTTTTATTATTTTTCAAGTTTTATTTAGGATTTTTTTTCTAGTATAAATAGGGTTATTTAGCTTGTAATTAGGTTTTTTTATATATAGATTTTGATTTCATAATATTTATCATGTGAGTGAGAAACTTCTTTTATTTTAGTTCTTCATTGAACTACTTTGACTTCGTAAAAAATTAACCAATTTTTATAGCGTCTTCCATACTTCTTGTTCATGTTTCTTCATAAACATCATGGGGGTTTTAGTTTCTATAATATTGGTATCTCGGTATATGTTATTATTATATCAAACTCCATAATAAGCTTGAATTTAAAATTGTGATGGAATTTGTGTGTTTGGTATTGTGATAGCTGTTGTGGTTATGATTTTAAAAAAAATATTTTATAAAAAATATTTTTAGTTAAGGTTATTTTGGAAAAATATATGTTTGGTTAAAACTGTGGTTGAAATTGAGGTTGAACAAAAAGTAGTTAAATGTGTTTGCTTAAGGAATGCTTTTCAAATCGAGGTTATAAAATAATTAAAAAAGACATATTAATATTGATGATTGTTATTGAAATATTAGCGATTTAACTACTGCTATTACATCATGAAATAAACAATACTTTATATAAAGTATTTTTTATTGTTGCATTAAACTATGTTCAATTTCATCACGTATGAAATCTATTCAATAAGACTTGTAGTTTTCATGGTTTCTTTAGCGTGCAATATCAGGTAAAATATCATCAGAAACAAAATTGAGATTGCGATCAAATTCTGCAAATGCTATGTCATCATATGATCTCTTTCAAATTTAATTATGTAGTACCATTAAATCATATTAAACATTGGTTTTTCAAATAAAATACAATATTTGAGAAAAAAATTTAGATTTTTTTTATTTTACTAGGTCATACTCGGTTCAATACCTTTTAGGTTTGAAACGGACCCTTTTCAATGCATTTAGGTTTGGGCCGGACCATTAACAATGAAGCTGCTCTCCATTGTTCACATAGCTGAATAGTGGAGACCTGAAAAAGTGTAGAAGAAGAAGGAAAAGAAGAAAAGGCGGTAGCCCTAGAGAGTGGTAAGGGAGCTGCGTTACACTATTCTTCAAAGTGAACAGTCGAGTCTCTGTTCATGTCGGTTCGGCCCATTAACAATGAAGTTGTTCTCCACTGTTTACTTAGCTGAACAGTAGAGACATGAAGGAGTGCAAAAGGAGAAAGAGAAAGGGAAGGGAAAGAGACAATGGCCCTGAAGAATGATGAGGGAGCCGCGTTACATTGTTTTTTCAACGTGAACAATGGAGTCCACTATTCATGTTGTAGAATAGTGGAGACATGATGCAGAAGAAAAATAAAAAGAAGAAGAAGAAGGGAAAGAGCTAGTCCATTGTTCTGCAACGTGAACAGTTGCAGAACAGTGAAGACATGATGCAGAAAAAAAAAGAAAGGGGAAGAGCTGATTAATTTCCTTTTTTTGTTTCTACAAGGCACACCATTGTTTAAGGCACACCATTGTTTAACACCATTATTTACTGTGTTATAACATAGTTGCAACAAAAGCAACCCCAAGCTGCTTTGATTGACCCTGAGTTACAAGCTCAATAAAAAATAGGACCCATGAATAATAAATCTCATTTTGTTTTATTAGACATACATTTTTTGTTTTATTAGATATACAGGAGCTGTGTTTTGCTTGAAACACTACCACAATCATAACCACGTAAACAAACATATTCTTAATATCACCACCTCATTGAATCTTCCTGGATTGAAACATTTGGTTGCTCAAGATTTGATTTTGGTGATACCTGGCACGCACTAAGAGAGGGAGTGAAGAAATTATACAAAGAGAGAATCCAAATCTATGTAAATGTAGTTTTTGTGTTTATGTTGTATCATATAAAGGTAAGTTTATATTCTTCTTTTATTTATTTTAAATTGACGAAAGATAACATATAATTTCTCAAAACACAGAAAAAACAATCAAATTATTGCAGGGTAATTTTCCCTATTATTATTGTCTTGTCCTAATGTCATTCTCCAACTCCTAATTCCTGTAATCATTTGGCCCGTTCATGATGAGCCGAAGTAAGAGTCTAGACATTGGGTTATACGGGGATGCAGTTAGAACAAAAAATAGAAGGATCAAACTATAGCATCTTTCACATATTATTTCAATCAAATTAAGCACTGTTGAAGAAAGCATCCCTTATGCAGTTGAGGTCAAACTATAGCATAATTTATCGCTAAAGCACATGATTCGTACATAAATCACATTAATTTGAAAAGGGATAACCATTATCACGCCGAAGCATGCTCATGGGCATCGATCTTGGCAACTTCTCTGACGAGGTTCCTGGTTGAAGGCAAACCAGCAACAACATCCTCTTCAATACCACACTCATTTGTTCCTCTTTTGATTTTAAAGTAACCATCCTGTCATTCAAAATGAAATTGCAAGTTAAGCGTTAGAGAAAACTTTTTATGACAGTAATTCAACATGGAGAGAGATTCTGATCAAAAGAACCTACATCACCCCAGCCTCTATTCCACTGGTTAGCAAGAAGCTGCGACAAAAAAGAGAGTACATAATTATATTAATATTATATGAGAAACAACGGCCATGGAATCTGGAAAAAGAAATGGTATTATTAACACATACCCAATAATCCTCCCCGTCATCAGAAGTCCCCCACCCAATAAGCTTAACAGCATGGCCTCCCATGGCATCACCTGTTATGTGCTTGTAAACTCCTGATTTATAATGAGCAAAATCCTGTAGAATGGTAAATGGATTATTCCAATTAAATAAGTATACAAGGTGTATTTCCGGAACATCAATCTTCATGCAATTTGTGTATAACTTTTTCTATGGGCCTAATTTGCATATACTTGTACGATAAATTAATAATGGCATTCGTCACGCATGAATGAAAGTGCAAGTACAGCTAAAAAAGAGATTTGTATGAGATCAAATGTTAGCAAACTCCCACTGATGTTATCCCTGCATGTCTAAAACTCAGAATTTCTTCAACTTAATAAGCAAGCTGTAGTTTAAGCACTGCAAAAGAATCAAGTGCATCAAGTGTTAGCATAGGAGAATGAAGCAAGTTTTTACCTCATAAACAGTGAAGGACACCTCTACTGGTCCGTTCCTGGAAACTTCAGCCATGATGCTGTGGGGATCAGAATCAATTCTATATGCATTAACACTGAAGTGCTTGGACTCTGCCCAGAGCTTGTTCTTATCAGCACATTTCCTTTCACACTTTGGAGTAGGAAATCCTGGCTCGCAACCAGGGTGAGAACAGCCAATATCATCAAAGTATGGATCACACTGCCAGATGAATTTTTTTGATAAAGAACATCATGATTGTGGAACAGATTGGGCATGATCAAAATGGGGTGCCCTCTCGGTATCTAGTTAAGCAATCTAAACTAACAGGAAAGATATCAAGGGTCAAGGTATTATGCAAAGCCAGAAACTAGTACCTCCTCAGTGACAACACCAGATTGGACAAAGTATCTCCATGCATCAATTGGATAACCCCCATCACAACCATCACCACACATCCAGCCACAGCAAGCTAAGAGGTCATTGACAGATAGAGAGAGGTTCTGCAATAAAAGGACGTGTGTGATTATATTGGAACAGCATAATTAGTCAATATTTTTTGTTCAAATATAAACAACTAGCTTGAATCACAAGATTCAGTTACCATGCCATAATGGATGCAAAAACGATCTGATAGCGATTCAACAGCACCAAAGGCCCAACAGGATCCACAGTGACCCTGGATTATCAGATTTGAAATGTGTTGAGAACCAGTAAGGTTTATGTAGACAAAATCCAAGAGAAAGAAAGAAAAACATTTTTTTCACCTGATCTATCATTTTGAAGTTGATCCAGCATTTTCCATACAAAGGAGCAAAGCATCAGCACCTTGAAAAATAAGTAGACAAAAACAGAGAACCATGCAATGCAAACACGTAGCAACTGACCAAGAATTCTTCCAATGGTGCTACAATGTGGCCAAGCGGTTCTTGCATCAAATTCTTTTGGTAATTTCATGGATTTTGGATGCCTTACTAGAGGAACACCTCTTAGTTCCTTTCCGGGTGTTGGTTTGACTCCAAGAAGGTACTTGAATTCCCCAACCTATGCAGCAAAGAAACTGGAAATGTTAACTATCAGGAATAAAGGATTAGAGTAAACCTATATATAAATGAACAAAACAATATATAAATGAACAAAACAATATAAAAGAGGACCTAAAACAATCTGTCTCTCACTCTCCCATGAACCAACAAGAGAAATTATTCGAAAGCACAAGAAAAATACTGAATAATTCCTCAATGACCAAGGTCTTTCCAGATGAACACTCACAGAGTAATTGGAAAATTGAGGGTTCATGGTAGCTTCCCATCCAGCATTGGGATTTTCATTGATCTTTTGAACTATTGAATCCTGCACAATCATAGTGAAAGCACAAGAAACGTAAATAATTTGCAAGCAAAAGAATCATTCTAATTGCCAAAGAAAAAAAAATCTGCTAAACAAAACACCTGAAGGATCCTAGAATTGAGTTTGAGCTTGGAAACTGGTTCCACCGCAATAACCTGCTGACCAGATTACATTCGATAAATTCAAACTTAGAATAGTAACCTTCAAGAATCAAATCACAAAGAAAGGAAACTAGTTCAAGATAATACTGTCCGATTTACAAACATAACAACCTCCTACTCATTCACAAGATCAAATTTTTGTATCGATTCCTTCTTTAAAGATGCTTTTATTACATGTTCTCACTTTTGCATATGTTTGATTAGTAAAGCCCCATAAAACAACTCGAACTAGAAACCAAAAATCAATAGCAGATCTAACCTCTTCATTAACTTAATCGGCGGGTTGAAAATGAAACACTAGCAGAAATATTAATAAAAAGTACCTAGAAGTAAGAGATTATGGAGTTGAAAGCAATCAATCCTCAGACTGAGGTCTAGGTTTGTTCGAGGAAAGACCCGATGACTGTGCAATTAACTAAATATCAAAACTCCGTGTGTCTGTCACTGCTTCATCCATCTGTGCTACAACAGATTTCCTTCTCTATTTCCATATAATCCAAAAATAGTAACTTCCACATAACCATTATCTATTCAAATTTAACATGTTCAAAAAAGCAGTTCAATCAACCGCCAAAATTGGGAATAAAAATCCTAACAGGCACAGATGTATCTCTAGTAGAACAAAAAAAGCTTAAACGTAGAAGATCGGATTTTAACATGAAGGAGAAGAGCTTGCGACTGGTAAGCAAGTACCTGAGAGTAGAAGGTAAAGAGAGCAGCGACGAGAAAGAAGAGAGTGCCATGATACAGAGGACTTGCCATTGCCTGCTTGCTGGAGAAGAGAAGAAAATGGAAATACCCACGAAGTAGTAGATAGTTACGTGACAAATGAAGCAAGCCGTGATCGCTTTATGAGGGTATGTGGACGACCCTAAATACGGGAGGAAAGGTCAGAGTAAACGAGAGCATGGGAAGATGGTTAGGAAAGCCAATCAAACTGGGGAAGCAAGGAATCTTGGCTTTTTGTGCAGCTCAGCAGCGCGCTTATGTCAACAGTGATGGCGAATGCCGTATTAAAATGATTTTTTTTTAAAAAAGAAAATATTTTTAATATTAAAGTATTATAATAATCTAAAAAATCAAAATTAAGATTAAATTTAAAAAAAAATCAATTTTTTATATAAAATCCCTCATTCCCATAAGGCTCGACTATCGGTGCCCACCGCTTGCAACTTTATCCTCTCCAGTATGGTGACGTCATCTGTTAGTTACGAGTTATGACACGGTGGGGATGCATCCCATCCCATCTCTGATTTTTAATTAATGATGTATTTTAATAATCTTTCTCTCATTCCCCGATAGATGTATTCATTTCAGTTGTATGAGCAGGAAGGTAGTTAGGTGGCTCGCCGAATGCCATTAGTTGGATTGGATTTTTTTTTTAATGTAAAAAAATATATTTAGAAGATGATAAATGAGCAGAAGAAATCCGAAACCTGATTAATAAAATTAGTTGATTTAATAATATAATTATAAAAAAGCAAAAAAGAAATCCAAAACTTAACTACCAATCAAGAAAACATTGAATGGCAAACTGAAAATTAGGACTTTTCTGCATTTTATCTCAAAGGGGATCTAAGCTAACAAAGCTAAACAATGCTTTTTTCTTTAATTAAAAATTAATTTTTAAAAATGATAAAAAATTACTTAAATCAGCATGTTAAATTTATGGTCCGCTCATAAAACCAAAATAAACTCATACAAAATAAACTGAATAAAACAATGAAAGTCAACTTTTAAGCAAACTAAATTATAAAAGGGTAAAAAAATTATTTTTAAAAAAAAATCAAGTTAATCCAAATTAACTTGAATAACATGTATAAATTAGAATATAAAATTGGGATAAACCCATAAAAAAGTGAAAAAATCATAAAACTGGAGATTTATTATCTAATATTGAAGAATAGAATTAAAAAAAAAACTATAAAAAGACCAAAATTAAATTGAGCTACTTTTAAAACCTTTGACATTGGCTATAAGACCAGGATTACTATATAGAAGGTAAATATGAAAAAATCACAACAAGAATCTCTAATCATCCAAAATTCAAAAACAAAATAAATAGCAATTAAAGAATGAAAATCAAATTGAATACAAAAATAAAATAAAATAAAATAAAATATTAAGGAATGAAATTAAAAAGAAAAAAATCAAGAAAAGAATTAAAAATAGAAAAATAGCAATAAAAAGAATGATGACCAAACTGAATATAAAAACTAAAAGAAATAAAATGATGAAGTGAAAAATTAAAAAACAACAAGTCAAGCAAAAAGATTAAAATAAAAAACAAAATAGAAATAAAAAAATGAAAAACAAATTAGATGTAAAAAATTAAATGAAATAAATATTGAGAGAAATAATTGGAAAAAACAACAACTTCAAAAGCCTTAAAAAGAAAAGAACTAGAAATCAAAATAACAAGGATAAAAATTGATATAAATATAAATTGAAAGGACATATTTGATTTTTAAAAGTGTTAACATGAAATCCAAGACAAGGAGAGAGAGAAAAAAGAACAAAAAAAAAATCTATTACAAATTAATCATAACTTTATCATGAACATATGCCTGATCATGTAAAGCTTCCAATACCATTACAAAATATGGCATTTGATTGCTATGAGGTGACACGTGTAACATAAAAAGCACAAGATCCTCTTACTCGCTGGAGTGTGTATAAAACGTGTTTTTTATTTTTATATTTTATTTTTATTTATATTTGTTGAAAGACTAGAAAATACAATGAAACGATAAAGATAACCTTAGGTGATTTTTTTTTTGTTTTTAATGAAAATTAAGTCATTTTACTATGTAATTAAAGCATTCAAAGATTAAAAAGTTCTTATACCTCAATTTTAGTTCTTTTATTTCAAGGATATTTAAGTTATTTATTGCGCACCTAAAATGTTAAAAAAAATTGATTTGTGACTATTCAAAATGATGTTTTTAGACCGGAAAAATAAACCTAATGGAAAAGACATTTTCCCCCTATAGCTTGTTAAATGATTTTTTTTAGACCAGAAAAACCTTCATTTTACTATATGAATCCATAGTAAAATGTGAGTGTATGTATAATGAATCTCTTAACTCTTTTATTTTTTTTTATAAAAAAATTAGCTTAACCTAATGGATAAACCTGCTGATCTATCAAATCCAAAACTCTACTAAATTACACCTTCATTTTACTATATGAATCCATAGTAAAATGTGAGTGTATCTATAATGAATCTATTAGCTCTTTTAAGTTTTTTTTTTAAAAATTTAGCTTAACCTAATGGATAAATCTGCTAATCTATCAAATCCAAAACTCTACTAAACTACAATGCTTTACAATATTAACTTCAATAAATATGGATAACTTAGAGGATCAATATATGACATAATTGACCTACCACAATCCAACTGAAAACTAGTGAAGTCAACTCCAAGGAATTGTTTTTTTATAGTTTTTATATAAAATAATATTATTTTATTAAAAAATGATATGATATCATTGCGAGAAACTAGCGAAATCAACTCCAAGCAATTGTTTTTTTAGTTTTTATATAAAATAATATTGTTTTATTAAAAAATGATATGATATCATTGTGAGGTTGACATGGATTGATTTGGATTAATCTAACAATCGAAGATCCTAAACCTCATGCAAAATAATTAAATCAAATTAATAAAAAAAATGATTATTATTGAACTTATAAAAAATAGAAACATGAATATTGAATGGGTTAATTGTCAATTGATAAAGAATACAATCTCAGATATAATATAAAAAAACTATATAGGTAACACGCATTATGTCATGAATTGAGTCAAATTTTTCTCAACATATAAAAATGATCCAATGATGATAATATTTATAAAGGAGTAAGAAAGATTTGAAATATAGGTCATTAAGTCGAATAGGTTCCATAAATTTAGTTAATTTAATAACATGATTATAAAAAGAGTCAATGAAAATAAAAGAAATGACAATGACTAATCGAGAGAAATAAACACCTATTAATATTATGAAAAGATACTCTCTAAATATTTTTAAAAGATCTCACCAATCTTATTTAATAACAAAACAAAATTTGAATAAGAATGAGATAATTTCATTAAAAGAAATAAAAGAAATCTAAAGTTCAATTACCTGCAAATCAAACATTAAAGGAAAAACTAAAAATAGAAAAATTAATTTTTTAAAAAGATAAAACATATGACTTTAATCAACATGCCAAACTTACATCTCACTTATAAGGTCGACATATAAAATAAAATGAATAAAACTATAAAGGTCAAATTTATAGCAAACTAAATAATGAAAGGCAAAATTAAAAAAAAAAATCAATTAAAAAGAATGTTGGAAAAAACCTTGAGTCAATTAGGGTTAACTTGATTAACCACAATCCAAGGTATAAGATTGAGATAACTCCATAAAAAAAAAAAGGAAGGAAAGATCATGAAGTTGAAGGTCTGACAAACTAATTTTGAAAACTGAAATTAATTTTTTGTTTAAAAAATAACAAAAAAAAATTACAGTCAAATCAAGTCAATTTTTAAAACTCGTGACCCGAGTTATGAGACTAGATTACCTTATTGAAGGCAAGCCTATAAAAATCACAAAGCAAAATTCCTTATCATCCAAAATTTAAAAAAATCAAATCAAATAGTAATAAAAATAATAAGAATCAAATTTGGTATAACGATTAAATAAAATAGAACAATGAGGGATGAAATTGAAAAATAACATAAATCAATAACAAGAAAAATAACAAAAAAATAGCAATTCAATTGAAAGGTTGATTTGAGAAATTGAAGAGTTTGGTGTAAGATTCAAATGGGAAGAGAAAAAAAAAAGAGAAATAAAGAAGAAAACACCACCAAACACTTTCCAACAAGGGCCCAGAAGGTGGTATTTAACCAATAAATGACACCATATACACTGCTTGAAAAGTAAAAAAATCACTTATGTTATATGTGCATTTTACCCATCAACCAAAATTTTAAAATATTTATAATTATAAAATTACTAATTACAAATAAATATTATAAAAGACCATTTTATTCTCCAATTCTATTTTCATTGAGTGTTTGTTGCGCTGCGGTTTTTTTTAAAGTAAACTGCAAAACAATTTACTGTGTATGGGTCCCACAATAAATTGTGCAGGGAGAAGAAAAGCAGTAAATTGTAGCTTTTTTGCTTGGATAAAAGGGAGACCATGCTCCACTGTTCATTGAATAGTGGAGGCTGCTACTGTGGAGCATAGCTCTATTGTTTTGGCCGGAATGGGTTCGGTCCAACGCTTAAAATGAATTGAACTGGTATGACCTACTAAAATAAAAAAATATTTTTTATTTTTTAATTGTGTTTTATTCGCTTGATGACATAGTATTCGCAGAGTTTAATTATAATTGTAATTATAATTTTGTTCTTGATTATATTTTACAAGTTATGTTGTTGCGCGATTAAGAAACTAAGAAATTTATTGGATGTATTTTAGACGTGATGAAATTATAGATAGTTGAATGGAATAATAAAAAATATTTTATATAAAGTATTATTTATTTCATGATGTAATAATAATAGTTAAATCTATAATATTTAAATTAAAACCCATTTATATTAATATATACATATTTTTTAATTATTTTATAACCTCAATTTTAAAAGCATTATTAACCAAATACATTAAATTATTTTTTATTTAACCTCAATTTTAATTATAATTTTAACCAAATATATATTTTTCAACTTAATCTTAACTAAAAATAATTTTTATAAAATAATTTTTTTAAATCATAACTACAACAATAGCTACAATACCAAAAATACCAAACACACCATAATGTTATCTAAGAGGACAAACAATGAAATGTCAGTGGATGAATATTAAAAAAAGAGCTCTTTTAGTTTTTTTTTTTAATCTGTAATTTGTTTATCTTTTACTGGACTGAGTACTCCTATTTGTGAACCGAGGAGCCCATAAAATCAAGCATGCTGTGCGTATATAAAAGTTTTAGAGGCGTGAGTTTCAATACTGAATGCCGCGTTGCTTTTCCTTGGAAAGTGCATACCTATGCTAACGTGCAAGCTCTCTGATTCATTATAGGAGGAGAAATATCAGTTCATCAACATTTTCCCTCTTCGTAGGCGCTTTGCTAGAACGACAAAGCTTCTGGAGAAAGAAACTGGAACGACAAAACTTCTGGACAAAGAAACTGGAAAGCAGGAAATATCAAGAAACTACACGTTCAAAACCATCAATCATCATATTAGGAGACTAGTGGGTATCTAAGCAAATTCCCAACAGGCAAGACGGGCTAAAATTTTCCAGTTGAACATTCATTGCACATCGATAACCAAGCCTGTATTATTTCAGTTATTTAAAAGCACTAATCTTCTGTCATATCTGTTAAGTATGCCACAGTATGGGAGCAAGATCACGAGCTTTGCGCCACAGGAATTGCCCCAGATGAGTCGCGAGACTGCTGTCAAGCCTCGCATAATTGCTTCAGTGCCTTGTCATATGATATGAATCCCATGAACCAGAACTCATGACCATCCTTTGTGACAATCTGGATGTACTTTTCGGAATGGTTCGCTCTGTTTGAAGAAGGATTCACTGCTCTCAATCGATCAAGCAGCACCACAACCTACAGATATACATATTTTGACAGTTGAACGACATCAGAAAATACCATATGTAAAATAAAAGGCGAATCGATCAGCTGCTTGCTAAAACTTTGAATCAAAATTATTAAAAATGGGCAACCAAATAAAAGGGCCCAGTTCAAAGTGCTCAAACAATTGTTAAAGCCTTGCAAAGAAATAGCTGTTGGGTGAGTTCAAAATAAATCATTTCTCGATTTCAAGTCAACGAAACTTGTAATGATTTTGAATCGCGACGAGAGAATTTTGTTTAATGCTACTCAAGTAATAGGACATGGAAAACCTCATGTTATCCTCAAAATTTAACAGCTTAGATTACAGAAATGAGACACCGATTAGCGAGTGCATTGCTAAGAAATGAAGTAGATGGTAATACCTTGTAATACATCCATTGCTGCTGTCCTGTAGAGGAATAATAACAGAAGGGATACTCGCTGCAAAAGGCCACCTTTTTGGAGGATACATAAAGTGTCCCGATCACAGGTCCAGTTGAAGTCGATATATAGCAAGCATATGCATTCAAGAGCTTCTCTCCAGGCAAGACCTCAAATGTCTGCTGGAATACCTTATCATGCCCTCCTTCAGCAAGTACCTTTGTCCCTTGAGCAATCCTTGCCATTGCTGCATCGGCTATGCTAGGACTAACCTTGACTGTTGTTTTCAGAAAACAAGATTACATATTATAATCTAAACGACAGCATCCATAATTGAGAATTAGAACCAAGTAATTTGCATTACACAATAAAATGTGGCTTTTATATTTGTGACATGGTTCCCAAAGCCAAGAAATTTTATCTATTCCCTCTGTTACCCTTTTTCTCTTCTTATTAGTCTATGTTTTTCCTCATAGCCATTCTATGAAGACATGCCTCAACATTCAACTATCCTCAAAAATCCAGAAAACATTAAAATGAAGTCAAGAAGAGGGTTCCTTCACTCGGTTTCTCGACGAAGGCCAAATAAGCATCTTAATTTTGCAGTCAAGAACAAGCTACCTTGTCGGCTCGATCAGCTTATATTTGATCATATCTACAAAAGACCAGGTGAAAGAGCTAGGCGACCCACCCATGAATCACCGTGCTTGAGTGCTTGATTCTAAGCTGTTGGGAAATTAAAAACAAAAATAATTTACCCGGAAAAAATAACCAAGGGAACGTTCTCCTACTTATTTATTTGTTTACACTAGGCAAGCTCCGAGGCAATGTTGGACGGCACCTTTCTATTAGACTTAAAAATCTTTTGAAGGATGAAAAGACCAACCTAGTAAGCTAAATAAACAAAAGGCGAAATGACAATAAATTTGATGATTGTGCGTATTAAGGGCAGGCAAGAAAATTTTAATCAGTCCTGATTGAAGGTAACATGAAGAGGGGAAAGAAAAACTCACAGTGATGCCAGATATTATCAGCATAAACCTCTGCTTTCCTGGTGGCTAGCTCAACCCTCTTCCCACACCGATTCCAAGCATCACGTATCTTCCCCATCGATCCTGAAAGAAAGCATACCAGAATATAATATAAACAATTTAGATTACAAGTAAAAACAAACGCCATAAAAGGCATTCATGAGCTCTAAACTCGAGATCAGACTTACTGTTGCCATTTGTCCCATATCCATTAGTAGTAGCCGGAGGAACAGTCGCGAACTGGAGGTAAGGATTGTTGTTGCTGTAGTCCATGTTGTGTTGAGGATGCGGACGGGGATTCACTGTGTTGCCTCGGTGCTGCAGTGGTGTATAAATTAGGCAGCGAGACAGGTTCCTCACTTTTCCTCCACCGCCCAAACGTCACTTTAGTTTTAGCTCCACGCCATTATTCTCGATGGGAACATGAATGGTCGGCCGATTTATTATAGTCCGCCTGTAAATATAATAACTGTAAACCGAATTCAGTTATTCTTCCTGTCTTGGGTCAAAGTCGTTGGCTTTAGGAACATGAACTCAGTCGGACAGAATTATGATAATAGCGATGGTATCTTTTTTCGGCAAAAGCCAGTGTGAAAATGAAATGTATTGGATTCTGTATGCTCTTGCTTCTTGGTTGTGGAGGGAGTTGAAATTCGGTTGACTCGATTCATCTTCGCGGGATATTGTTCTTAAGCTGTAAATGTGATCCTATCGAATTTATTCGCATAATCATGAACGGAATATATGTTAATTATATTGTGACGGTAGATTCGCTCTCGGTTGAATTCAATTTAAATAATTTTTTTATTTTAAAATATATATTAAAAATTTTATTTTAAAAATTATTTTTAAAATTAACAAATTAAAATTATCTAAAAATATATTAATTTAAAATAAATAAAAAATTTAAATTATTTTAAAAATATAAAAATAAATAGACCAGCTTTATTCGCATCGCTAAGTAATGAAAACTACAATTACTTTAGTTAATAAAAAAATATATTATCAGAGAAAAATATATATACTATACATGAAAAAAAATTAAGAAAAGTATTTGCTAAAACTTGCCAATAAAAAAAAAAATATACTCCACGTAATAAAAATTGTTTTAGAAGATTTGGTTCTGGCAATCTGATATTGCTTCATTAAAAAATATATTCTTAAATTATATGCAGCTGTATACCTATATATATATTCATAAAAAAAAATATATATAGAAAAAACCAATTTCAAGTTTGAGTCGTCGAAGTTCAAGAAATTACTTGGTACACTATGCTCTTAAAATAGGTCTTTCTTTGCTAAGTTAAATGTTTGAAAACATTAGTTCAAGAAAGGAATTGTTAAGATAGAAAAGATTTGCTAGATTGAAAAAGGATTTATATTTAAATTCTTTATTCGACAATTTAATTAACATTTAAAATCCTTTGTTGGAATTAATAGGTACTCAATTAGGAGGTTAAATACTCGAGTGTTTGTGTTTTTAACAATTGGAGTTCAATAATTTCTAATTAAGGATTATATATACATTTTCTTTTTTGATGTAGGAAATATTTCAATAATTTCTTCTTTTTAAGAAAAATATATATATATATATATATTATTTTTTTTCCTTGTTGGCTAAAGTATTTATAGTTTTTATTACTCGGTGCATCGACCTTTATTTATCTAATTATAACTTTTTTAGATAGATCAGAATTTGTTTTTATAGCTGGATAAATAATAAACTAATCTTGACGTTTCTTTCACATTGTTGATTTAGACGGTCAATATTCATTTAGCCTTAAAAAATGTTTGATGGAGGCTATTAAAAAGTTGTTTAAAAAAATATTATTTTAATATAAAAAATATTTTAAAAAATAATCATAAAATCTCTCATAGAGTTTGACGTTGCTTTTATGTATAAACTTGCTACTGTTTTGAGTCTTTTCTACTGCTACTAAAAAAGCATACACAACAGAAACAAAGGTCTCTTTATAGCAGTGAAAATCATAGCAACCCTCATCAACGAGTCAGCCTTCGTCAAACGTAACAGCAACAGAAAAACACAGCAACAACAATTTCAAAACGCAGCATCAGCAGTCTCAAAATATAATAGAAATTCCGGCAGTAGGAGTCACATATAAGAATAATCTCCACGCCGGTAGAGCGCCTTCCGTGTAGCAGGAAAAAAACAATAGCATGGGTGCATCCTGTGGCGGAGCCCCAAAGGGGCAAGAGGGGGCAATTGCCCCCTCCCCCTCCCCCTCCCCCTCCAAATCAGCAAGCCTCCAGCAAGAGAAGCATTTGATGGCAAAGTAAAAACACGAGGATGAGTGCTCTTGGTCCTTTTTTGGTAATTGGATTCCTCAATGCTATTTTTGATTTTATTTTAATTATTTATGATATAAAACTGTGTTATTTTTTTAAATAATTTATATAAATTAATAGTAGATAAATCAATATCCACATTAAATAAAATATAAAAATTTAATAGCTAAATCAAATATAATATAATAAAAAAATTAATCAAAACTAATATAAAACTGTGTTACTTTTTTTATTTGTTTCATTATATAATTTTAGTTTTATTTTTTTATAATTAGTTATTGAAAATGTTAGTATTTATAATAATAATTTATGAGTTTGTTGAATTAATATGTGTATGGATAATATTATATGCTAATAGATATGAATTGAAATGAGTTTCGATAAATTGATAAGTATTTTATTATGAATTTTATATGATGATAATAAATTTACTAATGATTAAACAAAAAGTATAAGACAACTAAAAAAATTAAGGACATAATAAATTAATTAAAAAAATTTAATATTTATATTTAATTTACTTGTACAAAAAAACAAGTTAGCAAGGACAACATTAATTTATAACAATCATTTTAAGCTATGATTTTAGATATTATGTACCATATATCATCATAGAATTATTGTCAATAACTTTTCTAATTTTTTAAAAATTTAAAAATAAATAAATAAATTTTTTTGTATATATTGAGAAAGATATTTTTACTGAGATTAAAAATAAAATTATTATGAAACAATTTTAAAATATTAAATCTCAAAAAGAATAATTATAATATAAATTTTTATTTTAAAAATATTCTTAAATTAATTTTATTTAACTTGAGTTGATATATATCTTTCAAATTAATTTCTACATGTAACATATATATATATATATATATATATAAATAATATAATATAATATTAAAAATTTATTAATAATTTATCTCATCATTTAAAAAGCATCAAAGTCCCTTTTTAAGACAACAATTTGACCTTTAAAACATAACGGTAATAGCTACCTTCTATAACGGCAAAAAACAACCTTCAAGTCTCTCTTTACAACGACAACAATAACTCCAATAAAAATAATTAAATTATGGCTTCTTGGTGGTCATTATGATTATTAGAAAATGTTAATAAAAAATCCTTGAAAGTGTAAGGAGTGTTGAAGTGTCATTCTTAAAGGAATATTGGAGCCTCTATTTGGAACAAAAATAATAAATACATAAAACAATAAAAAAAATAACAATTAAATATTTCAATCAACTAACTGATCAACCTCAAAAATCTTTCTTAACAAAGATAACATTTATCTCAAAGAATTTTAAAAACTATTAAGATAAATAGGCAAATTCACTTTATGCATACTTTCAATTACTTAGAATAAATATGAGAAAGACGGTTATATATTATTTTTCATGAATAATGATAATTATTAATAAAATATGAATTCATAATAATAAGGATATTAATGAACTTAATCATTGATGCTAGAATCTAATTATGTTGTTAGTTCATTAGAGAAATACAAAGATATTGATAAACTTTTTATTGATGAATTATATAATTTTTCGTTAATTCACGAGAAAAAAATGAGTCAAAAGAGTTAAAATAAACAAATTTTACTAGTTTCATATGACAATTGAATTTCTATCTCGTATATAGATGGTCACGAAAAAAAATATAAACAACAAAATAACAGGTTTTTACATAAAAGATTTAGAGATAATTTATACTTTATTTTTTAATAAAAAGAAAGAGATGATGAAAATAAAAATATTATTTTAATATATTTTTAAATAAAAAATATTTAAAAAATATTTTTTACTATTCTTACCTGAACTCAAAAAAAAAAAAAAAAACCCAATTATTACTTCATTTATCCTTTGCTAGAAAGGTAAAGCAGTTTAACAAAAACCCCAGTTTTCTATGAGAATCCAATCATGATGTGACGTGATCTTGCCACTCTTAACGAGAATCTTCTTCCACAGTAAATATCAACCTTCCACTATTTTGTGATGGTATTTAAAAGATATTTTTAGTTGTTATTTTTTAAATTATTTTTATTTTAAAGTATATTAAAATAATATTTTTATATATTATTTTTATATTAACATATTTAAATAATTTAATAATATAAAACAATATATTAATTTAAAATAAAAAATTAAAACTATTTTCAAAATTTTCGAAAACATTATTTAACCGCACTGCCAATCTAGAAATTTTTTACACGAGAACTCTCTTCCCCTGACTGTCACGCTATAATCATTGAAGCTCCGTTGTCTTAGGCCGTGTTCGTAAAAAACAAAAACTTTAAAACATATTTTATTAATATATTTTTGAACGAGAAATATTTTTTTAGAAAACAGTTACAAATTGAGATGTAAATTCTACCGGTAGAAGAATCACCAAGTAGGCCCTTCAATGGCCACTCATCAGAAGGGTCTGGGACCTCTGACCTGTGACTCCTTACCGGTCACAAATAAAATCACGGGGTGGGGAGGGGGGCAGCCGGCTTGCAGTTTAGGCTGTTAACGATTAAATGACCCGCTAGGATTATATGAAATCAAATTAGTTAGAGATTTGAGAGAGACATTGCTGTTTCAGATAATTATGGTAATGGTCTTGGTCTTTTCTGATACTCCCAATGTACGCTGTACATATACATTACACACTACAGTAGAAAGGCCAAGAAGCCAAAAAAGAAAAAACCAAAAAGAGGAATAAGTTAGGCAGGAGAGAAAGACAGCGATGCCAGGCTAGATATCCTAACCCCAAGATCGAAAATGGGACTCTTGCCCATTTTGGGTCTCCGTTTTAACAGATTTCAACTGCTATAGAAAAACAGAGAAAAACCCACTTTCCAGCTCCATTTCAGGTGCTTTGTTACTTCTCTGTACGCCCTTTTAAGGTTTGATGCTCTACTCCCCCACCGTTATTTCTTTTTCCTCATTTATTTGGTCTCTGTTGATGGTTTTGGTTGGTTCCCTTGTTCGAGTGATAATGATCAGTTGATGGTTTTAGGTAATTAGCTGGGAAGGTTTCTATTTGATTGTTGGGTTTGATCCACTTATTATTCTGTTGCATCCTATTTTGCTAGTTATATATATAAGGAAGAAGCACTTTCTGTTTGGTTGCTTGGTTTCAATCAGCTTTCTTTGCCGGTTTCTGAAGATTGGATTCTCAAAAATTTGTGTTGCTAGTGATCTGGGTTAGACCCGGTTT